ACAACCTCATGAATTGAGCTAAGTGCGGCATGATTTCATTAGTTCTTGTGTACAGTCCTTTTATGACAGTTGTGGAAACCAAACATAAATTATTTAATCTAAGTAAACAATTTATAATTTGTTAAAGATTTTCCATTGTTTTTGAAATACAAGAAAACAACAACAAACAACTGAGATTATAAATCAACTATTATACTGTAATATCAGAAAATACATATGCTTATGTAAGGCTTAATCAGGCATTTCAACTGCTTTAAAATATAAAAGGGAGAAATTAACAAGAAATTTAAGAGCGTTGCCCCTGGAATGCAGCCCCGAAATTCGAAGTAAGTAAGTAAGTTAGTATCTCAAATCTTACAATTGGAATCTCATATCAAAATTATCAAATAGAAAGAGCTGCAAAAGTCTAAACTTGATCTCATATAAAGTCACGAATTACTAATCTTAATAATGCTTTGGCTTAAGTTTGATTACAGAAAAACCCAAGATATTTTTGTTCAATATCATTCTGTTTTTCTTGTTTATTCACAAGACCTTGCCAAAATAATGACATAATAAGAGTCTGATTCCGTTATCTATGACACAAAATATGCTGCTTAATTTACTAATGAAAAAGAACTCACAGCTGCAGTAAGACGATCACAAGGATGATGCAAACTAAATTTATTAAAAAGAATTGACAGAAGAAACCCTTCTGTCTCCGACACTTACTAGTATAAATCATACTGAACATTTGGTTCAAATAAGCTAAGGAATTGTGTGCACTAAAATATACAAAACAATAGAGGATTAATTCACACTTTTCATGCATTAACATCTACAGAAGCGCGAGGACGCATTCTGAGCCCACATTCTATGGGCTCAGGATTCAATTTCTGTAGATGTTGATGCACAAAATAATGTATTAGTCATTTTGTTTTGGTGATTCTACGATATATTGTTTTTCGCATAAAGAAACTAGTTTTGTATTGATTTTAACTTTAATTTTTGTGTGTTATGTTTTGGTAATAAGGTAACTGGGGATCATTATTAAAATCAGCGGCTTTGCATGGTATCAGAATCATGCACATTGACAAGAGCTATTGGTAGGACATCATAAAGTGTTAGACTGTTCTTGGTGCTTTATAGCTAAACAAGAACCTAGATTATGAAGAATTCTCTATATTTAAAAGGGACATAATTCTGTCAAAATCCATGAAAGAGTTATTGACATTTAACGGTGACCTTTTATTATGCTAAAAAATAAGTGTATTAGGGTTTAACGTATTCCATCATGTATTTTTTACAAAACCAACTTGCATGAAAAACTTGTAAAGCTGACGCCTTTGGTGTACAATATCACTTGCTCCCTATTCTTTGAAATATCAAGCTAAATAATGTGCTCGCATGGTTTTATCCATAAATGCAGGTTTTTTTCTCTGTAAATGTACATCTGTGTATGCAGTTTTTATGCAGGAATGCAACTTTTTTGTTTGTTACATGTATGAAGTGTTGAAGATACAAATTACCTTTATTATAGAAATTTGTCAAAATAACATCATTTAATGGCAGCCATATTGGATTTTGAAGCCATATTGAATTTTCTACCAATACTACTTAAGCATTTTTCCAAAAAATTACTATTTTTTACCTATAATGTCAATTTATATCATAAATAACTTCATTTTGACATGCCCTGTGTACATTTTACATTTTGGCGGCCATCTTGGATTTTGGCGGCCATCTTGGATTTTTAAAAAGTGGATCCCAGGCTGAAATAACTTGAAATACCATTCCTTGACACCATGCCAAGTTTCATGCTTTTCACAGAAGGTGCACAATTTTTTCACAAATTTCTTGGACTACTTTACGAAAATCAATAAAAGCACAATATAATTTCTTTTTCTCACTATTTATAACTTTATTTATTATAGAAATTGAAACAAAAATACAATATATGGTGCTTTTGCCGTTACGAAATCCATACTGGTACTCCGATAACAAATTGTTAGTTTCGGCCCACTTGCGCAAACGTGTATCTAACATTGTAGAAAATATTTTAGAAAAAAACACTGGTGAGGGTAATACCTCTATAGTTATTTACATCATCAACATTACCTTTTTGGGGGATTGGAACGATCATACCTTTTGTCCATATCTCAGGATATACACTATTAAGAAACATAAAATTAAACAATTTATAAAGACAAGGAAGTTAAAGATCACTACATTCTATAAATATTTCACTAACCAACATATCTACAACTCCACTTTTACCTCTTTTCAAAGAAGAAATGGCTGAATTTACCTCATCAATACTAAATTCTTTATCAAGTTGTTCAATAACATATTCATCTAAGCTTTTCTGGCCCAATTCATCCTCAGCTTCATTATTAATAAAAGCACTATTTTTATAATGTTTTAAAATGATTGAAAAAATGTTCTTCAGAAATATCTCCAGCTTTAGATTTTTTGTTTTTAATTTTTCGTATTTCTTGCCAAAACTTTTGAGGCTGGTGCTTGGCTAAATTTTGTAGTTTTGTTCTCTGTTTCCCATTAAAGTCAGACCGTGCTTTTCTTTTAGCTTTTTTATATACTCGTCGTTTAGTTTTTAACAATTCAAAATTTTCTACAGATTTAATTTGTTTAAGAGACCAGAGACATAGATAACATTTAGCTTATGCATTTGTCTATGGCTGCAGGTAAAAATATTTACAGTTCTTATTTAAATAAATGATACATCGATTTTTAAAGAGAACTACTTATTAATTTTTGTTACAAAACTATTCATGTGATGAAAAAACTGGCTCAGTGGGTATGTTCTGCTATGTTTTTCTAAGTGAAAGGCATGGAAAGTTACCAATATTTTAACATGCAGCTATAGATAAAAGATTTACCTTTCAAATGGTATATAATATTAAAGGATAAAATGTACATCCATAAAGTTTTATTTGCTACAAAATGCCTAATTTTTCACTTTTTTATGGGCATGAGTGATATTTCAATGGAGTATATAGGAGCTGCTTATCTCTGTTATCTATGTCTCTGAAGAGACTTATTAACAGTCCTAAATTCTCGCCTAGCGGCCTCACATTCTTTATTAAACCATGGGCTCTTATAAATACGTTCTGTTACTTATATTGCTGTTCTTCTTCTTCTTCTTCCAATACTGTACATAACCCACTCTGGAGCATTGACGTACAGGGTGTATGTACAAAGTGATGTGCGGCGAATAAGTGCAGATTTAAAAGAAGAACATGTTAAAAATAAAATCGACTCCGGCATATTAGGGCCCCATGACTAGCCTCAAGGTTGACTGCTGTGACTAGGTGCTCTGGAAGCTGGTTCCACAGGCGGATTATTTTATTGTACACGTAGTTTTACCAAAAACACTTTTAGTTTTATCATACAAAATATTAGATATTTCATTTATTCCAGCGCTAACATTAGTTTCTTTTGAAACAATACAACTAACAATGTCATTTATATTAGACAGTTCAGCAGATATAACGTCTCTGTAATAATCAACTTTTTCATTATCCCATACAATTTTTTTCACATAATATAGTAGAATCTATTATTTGTAACATTACATTGTTCATAACTATTTACATTTAAATCAATTTGGATAGGACAATGTGGTGAAAAAGAATATAAATCATAATGTACTATAAAATTTTTATCATGCAACTACTATGGTAACTGCCCGATAACACTTGCCTGATAATTATTTTTGATATCAGGTCAGTAACCTGATATCAAAAATAAGCCCCGCCCATTTTAACGGACTTTTTTCAATTGCTTATATTCTCATTTTTACCAGCATGTGAATTCTACAATGTAATCTCATACCCTTACAAGTCTTGAATCAAGGTGCGATATTTAGGCCTATTATTTCGATTTCAATTACGAATAAATTAGATAGCGAATAGTTTTAGCTCCAACTAAATGAAGTGACGTCATAATTTATATTGCAAATGACATCATCGATGTTCACGTCATACTATACATGTAATCATAACAAACAGGCTAGACGATTTTCATTGAGATCTTGTAAATGTTTACTTTATTTCGCCGGATTATTATTCAATAAGTGAACAAATTGTTTCGTTTAAAAAATAAGACGCATGTTTGTGTAGCTTGTGTTTGATTGCCGATTTGACTTTTCTTTGATTGAAATTATCGTGAACTTTTGAATTTGACAAATACACCCATAAACACTTTCAATATGATCTACCTAAATAACCGAGGTATATCGAGTGAAAAATTACGAGTTGCTTCCCTTATCTTCGAGTAAAATCGATATCGCTTATGCTAAAACAATACAATATAAGCTGTTTTTAAACCGCTAGTTTGTTGTGATTAAATGTCCGATTTTAAAATGTATTACACCAATAGAAAGCTTTGGATCTTAGCTTCGTCACAGTATAAAATTCAACACATCTTTGGACTTCAAAGTATTTTAATTAACTGTTAAACCTACCATATGTCAGACCATTTCACATACGATTTATACAGTGAGATACGCAATCCGTTATCTTTACTCGAAATTCTACTGATATGAATAGCACGGTAGGGAATCACGTGACTTTTACGGTTACGCGTACAGACAATATGGCGGCCTAAAATCCTCGCTTCACATGTGTTTTTCAGGTAATTCTTTATTATATCCCTTTTACTTACATACGAGACCTGTTGCAGCCTACGCGGAATAAAGAATTGTTGCCGCCTATACCTTATTTTCCACCCCTGTGCTCATAGCTTTTACAAACACTCAAAAATTCAACAGGAATTTTCAATGTTAACAATTATTTTTCAGGTAACTTTCACGCAAAATTTGTATTTTTTATGAATTTGATTAAACTACGCCGAGTTAGCAAAGAGAAAAGGTTCATAGAATTTCTTTATTTGAAAATGTAAATATTAGGCATGTTAAATGTTGACTAGTCATTTTCTATTCCAATACACGAAGGAAAAATGATTTGGGTAACAGCCACACATACTTTTATTGTTGATAACTCCCACGCAATATTTTATGTGCAAGCAATATCTATGCAGGCTATTGCTTAGATATTGATTTAACAAAATCATTATCGATGCATTTAGCCTTAAACGTTCATAGAATTTTGAAAAATATTTAAAATACCGCCAAAAGGTCCTGGATAGAATTAAGCGCCTATGGGTAGGAGAATACATACTCACGTAAATATATAACAAGAATATAGATATAGATGAATTTATCGCAGAAATTAAAATAAAAGTCTCAAATATAAGAAGGAGGTCGATTTCAGTTTATGCACAATTACAGTTGTCTTTTTTCATAGTTTGCAGATATGGACGGTTGCAGCTCGGATATTGTTTGTAGATGATGTTGGAAAACATTTCGTTCACGGACAAGTCTTAATGACCACATATGAGCTGGCTACTCGGCACAGGACCTTGTAAACGTTGTGGCAAATCCAACTGCCATAGGTATGGCATTTTAATGTTAATATAAAGATTTTAAAGACATTCAAATCATTTTATCACTTAGTCTTTTCAAATCATTTTATCACTTAGTCTGTTATGTAACTTATTATTTTTAAAATTAGTGTCTGTATTTAACATAATTATGTATTTTTAGCTCACCTGTCACAAAGTGACAGGGTAAGCTTTTGCGATCGTTTTTTGTCCGGCGTCCGTCCGTCCTCCGTAAACTTTTACTTTAAATGTCATCTCCTCATAAACCACTGAGCCAATTTCATCCAAACTTCACAGGAATGTTCCTTTGGTGGTCACCTTTGAAAATTGTTCAAAGAATTTAATTCCATGCAGAACTCTGGTTGCCATGGCAACCAAAAGAAAAAAAAAACTTTAAATATCTTCTTCTGAAAAACCCAAAGAGCTAAAGCTTAGATATTTGGCATGAAACATCTTCTAGTGAGTGTCTACCAAGTTTGTTCAAATTATAAAAGCCCTGGGGTCAAAATTGGCCCCACCCGAGGGGGTCATTGATTTTCCCTATATGCATATAGTAAAAACTTAAAAAATCTTCTTTTAAAGAACCCAAAGAGCTAGAGTTAAGAAATTTAGCATGAAACATCTTCTAATGGGTGTCTACCAAGTTTGTTCAAATAAGAGCCCTGGGGTCAAAATTGGCCCCGCCCCGGGGGCCATTGATTTTCCTTATATGTGTATAGCAAAAACTTAAAAAATCTTCTTTGAAAAAAAACCAAATAGCTAGAGTTTAGATACTAAGCATGAAACATCTTCTAGTGAGTGTCTACCAAGTTTGTTCAAATAAAAGCCCTGTGGTCAAAATTGGCCCCGCCCCGGGGGTCATTTATTTTCCTTATATGTGTATAACAAAAACTTAAAATATCTTCTTTGAAAAAACTCAAATAGCTAGAGTTTAGATATTAAGCACGAAGCATCTTCTAGTGAGTGTCTACAAAGTTTGTTCAAATAAAAGCCCTGTGGTCAAAATGCAATTAAGAGCCCTGGGGTCAAAATTGGCCCCGCCCCGGGGGCCATTGATTTTCCTTATATGTGTATAGCAAAAACTTAAAAAATCTTCTTTGAAAAAAAACCAAATAGCTAGAGTTTAGATACTAAGCATGAAACATCTTCTAGTGAGTGGTCTACCAAGTTTTGTTCAAAATAAATAACCCTGGGGTCAAAATTGGCCCCCGCCCCGGGGGTCATTTATTTTCCTTATATGTGTATAAAAAAAACTTAAAATATCTTCTTTGAAAAAACTCAAATAGCTAGAGTTTAGATATTAAGCACGAAGCATCTTCTAGTGAGTGTCTACAAAGTTTGTTCAAATAAAAGCCCTGTGGTCAAAATTGGCCCCGCCCCAGGAGACATTGATTTTCCTTATATGTGTATAGCAAAAGCTTAAAAATCTTCTTCGAAATATCCGAATAGCTAAAAAGATTGTTCAAATAAAAGCCCTTGGGTCCAAACTGGCCCTGCCCCAGGTGTGTCATTGTTTTTAAGTATATGTGTAAAAAAAAAAACTTGACCAGCTAGACCTTAGATGTTTAGCATGAAACATCTTCTAATGGGTGTCTACCAAGTTTATTCAAATAAAAGCCCTGGGGTTTAAACTGGCCCACTACGGGGCCTATATACAGTCGTGAGCGACTTCAGGGCCATCAATGGCCCTCTTGTCTTAAAATCTAAAGCAAAACAAAAACCCATAAAGCATATAAGAATGGGTCTTTTATTTTACAAACTAGATAATAAAATCTAGAGGAATTATAATTGAATGTTATCTTAATATAAACAGTAAAACCCGTAACGTTTCCGATTTGCTGAGCTATAAAATGTTTTACCACAACATTTATAAGGTCCTGTGCCGATGTGGTCATTCCGTGAATGAAATGTTTCATTTATCACAATCAATATCCGAGCTGGAAACTTTCATATCTGCAAAATATGAAAAATGTCAACTGTAATTGTACTAAAACAGAAATACAAAACATCCTTCTAATATTTGAGACTTTTGTATTAAAACGCGACATAATTGAATGATTTGGGTTCGGTGTCCTTGGCAATTTGTAATTTTACAGATCATGCTTTTTTGAAAGTTATTTATCCGCCATAATTATCGTATTATTGTAACCTATAAGCAGTATAAGTGTTGTGAACGTCCCAAGACGATTCGTCAATCTAGCTGTATTTATATCTTAGTGATAGTAAAAATAAGCGTGAATTAGTTTGAAAAAATCATTATATCCATTGCATTATCGACACAAATATTGATTAAACTGTTCTTGAGTGTTAAAATTTTAAGCTAAATTGCCGTGAATTTATAGGGAATAATAAATTTATTTTTACATTCTAGATCCTGGTCCTGGATGAAATTGAGAGTATTGTAGCTGTAGCTTGTATACCATACATTTAACATGGATAGGACTGTCAGGTTTGTTGAATTGAAATTCTAATATTTAATATACATATATTTCTTTACAAAGTATTAATATTGCAACTACTGGACATCAATCTTGTCTTAATAATACATGTATATTATTTTCAGAATACTTTTGTAACATTATAAATATGAAATTTACATATTTGTTGTTTTCAGGATGCTGCATACAATGGTCTTAGTGAATATTTCTTGGGAAAATGAGGCAAGTAACTGATGGGGAGCAGTTTTTAATTAGTAACTTCTTATTTTATTTGCAGAAGCAGTAAGAGACAGCCAAAGAAGTATTCAAACACCATCATGAAACATTTAAGACATACCAGGAGAGATCTAGAAGAGTAGTTGGTAGAAGAGTGGAACAGTTTGTAGCTTAATTGTAACTAAAAGGACTTCTTAAATACTTGAACTGTATATTTGAAATAAAATACCTGAAGTATTTAATAGTGTCTTTTTTTGTTAAACAGTTAAATTCTGTTACTTTGCTTTATATTTATATTAAAGTATGTTGAAGTGACATTGGAACTTTAACGTTGTGCCAACGTTGAATTTCAACGTTGTTTAAACTTTCAAATCCGAACATAAATCCAACGTTATTTCAACGTTAAAATCTGACCATAATTCAAAGTTGTTCAACCTTTATGTGCCTGCTGGGTTAATTCTATCCAGGACCTAATCTATTGGCGGTATTTTTAATATTTTTCAAAATTCTTTGAAAGTCTGAGGCTAAATGCATCAATCATGATTTGTTAAATCAATATCTAGGCTTTAACCTGCATAGATATTGCTTGCAAATAAAATATTGCGTGGAGTTATCAACAATAAAAGTGTGCGTGGCTGTTACCCAAATCATTTTTCTCTCGTGTGTTGGAATAAGAAATGACCAGTCAACATTTTAACATGCCAATATTTACATTTTCATATAAAGAACTTCTATGAACATTTTCTCTTTGCTAACCAACGTAGTTTAATTCAAATTAATAAAAAATACAAATTTTTGCGTGAATGTTACCCGCAAAATAATTGTCAACATTGAAAATTCCTGTTGAATTTTTGAAGTGTTTGTAAAAGCTATGAGCACAGGGTGGAAAATAAGGTATATGCGGCAACAATTCTTTATTCCGCGTAGGCTGCAACAGGTCTCGTATGTAAGTAAAAATGATATAATAAAGAATTACCTGAAAAACACATGTGAAGCGAGGTTTTTAGGCCGCCATATTGTCTGTACGCGTAACCGTAAAAGTCACGTGATTCCCTACCGTGAATAGCCTTTCGTCTGCTAGTTCTGAAAGTGTTTATCGGTGTATTCAAGACAAAAATTGCAGTAAAGTTTAGTTTATGTGATTCTAAGTGGATTTTTGGATCGATGTTTAAATTAAAGGTAGGGTTAGGGTTAGGGTTAGGCTAACCCTAACCCTAAGAATTTTATCGTATTAGGCCTACAATCTGTTGTATCTTTATCCGAGTAGAAAGAAAAAATGGCCGCCAATAACAAATTCTAAGCTTCAGGGGCGGAGGAATTTTTTTCAAGAATTATTTCTTTGAACAAAAATCCCCCTTTTTAACGAAATTCGCTATTTAAAAGTAGATTATTCTTTTATTTTGACAGTTGTTATGTGTTACATGACAAATAGAAAAACATGCTACTGTCTTTTGATATCAATTTTATCAGGCTCGGCTGATATGGGCAGAAAGGGCTCGGCAAGCCTCGCCCTTTCTAGCCCATATCAGCCTCGCCTGATAAAATTGATATCAAAAGACAGTAGCATGTGGCAATATCCGGTCTTTGTCCCTCGGGGGACAGTAACATTTTAGTGTGTATTTCAGTGACAGTGTACTGGTTGGGGACCACCAAAACCGGACAACCACCAAACCCGGACGGCCCCGAAAATGCTTGATTTAGAATTTTCTTTGTTCAGTGGTTGTCAGTCACTTTTTTATAAACAATAAATGCATGTTTCTTCTATAATTAGGTAAATAAATTTATTTCAACCTCCGTAAATGGTAATATTTTAATGTCTATTTCAAGAATGTTGACGTTGAAATTTGGGGGTCAAGAAAGCAATGTCTGACCTCATATAACAGCAATAATTATTGCAAAGTAAACAATAGAATATCCAAAACTTCAGCATTTGCTGCTGAAATATTGTGTGTCATGTTAAAAATAAAAAAAAGAACACCAAAGCTTTTATCTGAATTAAATCAACATTATTACATATCTGTCCGGACACATGGTACTGTAGTATGTACAATTTAGGTAATTTTGATACCCTCCTTGACGGGCCTCGGATATAAGTGTCAACATAATCAGAACTAAACAAACTAGTTTGTTAGTTAGGAGAAGAACCTAGCTGTACTGTGTCAAATTTTCGTACCTTTAGCTTTAAAATTATGAAATTTGTATAGAAAAATGTTCAAAAAGTGTCCGGTTGATGGTCCCTGACCAGTACACGTATGTATTTCCCTGATCAGGGTCACTCAGACGCTTATTGACAATTCAGCAAATAGGCGTCGCCACCTACAGTATCAATCGTTTTTGAAGTTACTATCGCATGATTAAATGGGGCGCTATTAGGAAAGAGCAGTATAATTACACACACGTGCATAAAATGTATATTCGATTTGTTATATCTTATGCCAGCCCGCATAGCTCAATCGGTTAGAGCGCGAGACTTGTAATCTCGACATTGTGGGTTCGATTCCCGGGCTGGCCAACTAAAATTAATAATCAGTCTTTCGGATGAGACTTTATTACCCCCAAGAGAAAGCCAAACCCCATTTTCAATAATATAGACCCCCGATCCGGGGATATATCTTCCCCTTCAGTGGCATTATAAAGATTGTTTGTAAAGAATTCGCTCTGTACGCATTATTGTACTCATCGTCCACGGGGACGTTGCCACATCATATATATGGTATTCATTCCGTAAAAAAATGCATTCAGAAATTACCCCAGAACACTTCCAAGCCCCATTTCATGTAGCATACATAATAAAATAAATGCGTTGTCTGTCTATATATAATCCGGTCTTCGTCCCCGGGGACGTTGCCTCGTGTTATATATGCTATTCATTCCGTAATGAAACATCATTAAGACAGTTACCCCCAAAAGAATGCCAAGCCCCATTTTCTACAATATAGACCCCCGAAGAAAACCCTCTTCCGGGGAGAAATCTCCCCCTTCAGAGGCATTATAAAGTTTTGTTAGTGTAAGATATTTTACCTGTCTATATATATAATCCGGTCTTCGTCCCCGGGGACGTTTCCACAGCACTTTCAAGTAATGATAATTGCATTATAAGATATATATTTGTTTGAAAAAGTCATTAAGATACTTCCCCCAAAAGAAAACCAAGCCCCATTTATAAAAATAAAGAAACCCCCCAAGAAAACCTGCTTCCCGGGAAAACTTCCCTTTACAGGCAAAAGAAATGATCGAATATTTCATATCGCGACTGTATATATATAATCCGGTCATTGTTCCCCGGGGACGATGACCGGATTATATATTATAGACAGAGCGAAATTCTTTACAAACAAACTTTATAAATGCCACTGAAGGGGAAGATATATCCCCGGAAGAGGGTTTTCTTCGGGGGTCTATATTATTGAAAAATGGGGGCTTGGCTTTCTTTTGGGGTAACTAATCTTTATGATGTTTCATTACGGAATGAATAACATGTATAACACGAGGCAACGTCCCCGGGGACGAAGTACCGGAATTAATATATAGAGAGACGATGCCTTATGTGTGTAATTTTTAGGTAAGTAATAAAATTATGAAAAAGTTTTTTTTTTTTTTTTTTAATAATAACTTTACATGATTGATGACATATTTGTTTTTTAAATAACCAAAGTTCATTCCACTTGAAATGCCCATGAAAAGTAATACACGGTTGTATTGAGATTTTTTTTTCCTTATATAGTAGTATAAATTGAATATACACATGTTACATGAGGAGAGGAATGCATGCACGAGTTGTGGCGTGCGTTCATAAAGTGTACTTGCAATAGTTAGCGGGGCATGTCAAACAGAAATATTGAAAATTTATAGTAAATGGGTCAATAATTCAAGATATCATTGGACCAGCAAATCAATGGCCACATTCAATCAGGATATATTTCTGGACTCCCAATTTAAATCATTTTCAGAGAATACTTATATCAGCATTTGTTTATGTAAATGGACTTATTCCTGAAATATTTATAGAATGGGTTTGGCACGTGACCGCGCCGCGTCAAATCATTTTTAAGCGCTATTTAGACTTTTTCATAGTGGACATTATATAGTAGACCTGTCTTTATATGCATTTAACATCACTAACAGACGATATGATAATTTAAACGGGGAAATAAGGATATACCAGCATAGCAGCTTACAGAATTAGTAAGTTCAGGTATGATTTTTTTTTATTTTACGGAATATATGTAGATTATTAATGTAATACTTCGCTTCACGGAAAATGCCGACATAAAGTTACTCTTGACAACCAATATACGGCTGTCAAATTTAAAGCAAGCGCTCCAGTGATCCAGATCAACTTGAAAAGTGCATTGTCCCCTGGGGGACGAACAGTGGCGTAGCGCGGCCAAGAGTAATTATACGCCTTGGGTGTGGGTTAAGGGAGGGGGTCGCCCCCTCCCTTTGTAAATGGCATGGGTTCGGGGGGCTTCCCCCGAGAAAATTTGGATTTATAGATGCAAAATAATGCAATCTGGAGACATTTGACAACATATTAATTCTCTTCTTATCTAATAAATAGAGGATATTGAAAGAGTGTAAGTTTAATACTTAATTTATTTAATGAGTTTAATAAAAATGATATATTATGTGAGCCTCTGGCGGGTTAAGGGAGGGGGTGGCCCCCTCCCTTTGTAAATGGGAGGGGGTTCGGGGGACTTCCCCCCCGAGAAAATTTGGATTTATAGATACAAAATAACGCAATCTGGAGACATTTGACAACACATTTAATTCCCTTCTTATCTAATAAATAAAGGATATTGAAAGAGTGTATAAGTTTATATACTGAATTTATTTAACGAGTTGAATAAAATGATATTATGTGAGCCTCTGGCGAGCATAATATTATTTTATTCAACTCGTTTAATAAATTTAGTAATGAACTTACACGCATTTAATATTCTATTTATTGCATAACAAAAATAAAGACCGTTTGAAGTGATAAAGAAACATTTTTCATTGAAGCGCCTATAGTAGGCCTATAACTCTAACATTTAGCGCGTCTTAGCGTTATGTTTATGTAACGCTAATGACGTCACGTCAAAATATATGCCAGTGCAATACCATTTTTACGGAGTCGCAAAATCGGCACGGGTATGTGATAAATTCCATGATGATATCTATGCCGAGATGGTTATTCTCTGAAGACAAATGCAAGGCGGCGTTGTTCTCTTGCAGCAAATTTATCAACTATATACTCAGAATAAATTTTCATGTCTCTGTAAATTTTCATTAGGCCAGGCCCAGACAGCCGCTCTGTAGTCATGGTAGATCTCTTCATGGTGCTGAATGATCGTTCAGCTGTAGCCGTAGACACTGG